AAAATTGTAATTCAGTCTACATTTTTAACTATCGAGAGGGAGAACACATGCTTGAACAGCTACTGCCGACAAGCGGTGGTCACATGCTTGTGTGACCAACGACAAGCTGAGGCTAAAATGCTCCTGTTGCTGGGAGGGAGCGTGGAGCCCACCTGCACAGACCTCCCAGGACCTACGCCTCCCAAGCGCGTCCCAGGTGGCCCTCAGAAACAGCAGCACCTCTGTATTCTACAGCACATCTGGGACTCTGGGTCAAGGAAAACTTCCCCTTCCCCAGCATCTACTAAGGTCACTTAACTCCCTGTGACAATAAACCAGAACAGCCACTGAGGTCACCCCTGAGAGGACTCGGGCTGCGAAACTGTGACACAGATATCAGGGATGGAGGGTTAAGCCGCCCGTAGCGCCCAAACAGGCTGCCTGCGCCCTTCTCTCAGCTGTGGAGAAATCCCTCTGAGGCTTAGTCTGCCATGGCAGAAGAAATACTAGGGATCAGCCCTTGCCGGGAGGCCAGGCAGTAGTTAGCGGCTCCACTTCTGTCTCTGGACAGGAGGAGAACGGGACACACAGCCTGGGTGGGGCCTCTCCCACAGCAGCCCTAGGGCGTGGGCAGAGCAGCAGGGGGGCCAGGGGCAGGCCTAGTGGCTGTTCTCGTGGACTAGAAAGAAGGCGAAGGGCGAAAACTCTGCTCCTAAACAAGAAATTTTAAAAATGCACGTGGGCTGAATGCTGCTTTTCTGCTTTAAGAAAACACGGTGGTATTTCCTCACACAGGAACAACTAACTCCCAGCAGATACAATGAGAAGAGAACTTTCACTCAAGCTCAACGTGAACCAGCAGTCACCGCTACAATGGTAGTTTTTAAGTTGCTGGAGAAACGGGAAGAGATTTCGGTAGGCCTATAATCCCTCTCGCTGACAGCCAGGCCTTTCTAGGCCCAGGAACCTGAGTAAAGGGAAGCTTGCTTCCTCCGCTGTATAACGCGTGAGAGTGCAGCTAAGGTCCCCCCACAGCCACCAGCATGCAGCCTAATTCCTTAATTGCAACACTGGCAAGATTCCTTCCAAGCCATTTCAGGAGTTCTCTCTGGTAAATTACACAGCACCACCGTCTAGATCCATTTAGCAAAATAAGTCTGTTTTCCCCTCAAACCAAGAGGCAGAGCAAGGCCTAGGCCGCGTCTACCTGGATTCCAGTAACACTGCGACCTTCTCGTTGAAGAAAGGGGAAAGCATACTGAGGAGCTCGCCCTCTTCTCGACTCTGGTCTCCAGGGCAGCCAGGCGTGGGGGCTGCCTCGTGCTCTAGAACACTGGAATCCGTGTGCCTTAAATATCCGTTCTTGCAGCCCGCTTTGGATCGGTCCTCCATCATCTGCAAATCAAAGTATTTAGTCAAAGCATGGGCCACAGGGGATGCAGAGGAGAAGGGTGGAGACAGAATGAAGGGGTGAGGGCAAGTCAGGCAGAGAACATGAAAGAGGGGGCGTGTGGGAGGTCGACACACACTTTCAGTTAGGGAGAGGCTCAGGAGGACTAAGGTGTGTTCCCATCGTTTTGTCTCCATGCTCAGTTTCTCTTCTATAAAACGGGGGCAGCGGCAACCCCATGTACGCTGGGGAACAGTGTCTGACCCACTATGGGGGTGTGGCCCCAACCCACAGCCACCCTTTGAAAGTTCTTCCTAAGAAGGATAGGGAGCCCCCCCATGAACAATGTTGTTGACACTTCTTATACACTCATGCAAAGAATCCTCTCATCATACATCAGAAAGTGACTTACTCTTTATAGACACATCCCAATTAGCAAGGCTTTGATTTGTCTCATCAGGAAGGTGGAGAGTTCCTAATCCCTATGGAAATGTTATGTACAGCCCCACCTTCTCCGGTCACTGGGGGCACCAGCGGAGGATACATCCAGTTAAAGCTTGCATTGGGCATGCCTTGAGGTGCTGTAATTAGCATTCCGACTCCCCCTTTCCAGAGCTGTAAATTTCTCCTACCACTCTATAAATAACATCCTTGACTTCATTACTGCTGGTGATATACACACTAGCCATCACGCCCGTCTCTCTACACTTGTAAAATGATTAAGATTTTTAAATGGAAGATAAGACCCACACAAATGAGCTGTTATTTATAGGGTACTGTTTGCCAATCTAGTTACTAAATCCACCTAAATAAGCAACCTCCAAAGGAGGAAAAGCCTAGGATATACTAATAAAAATACTAACGGCTAACATTTGCTGACTATTTATTACATACCTTTCTATTTAACTATCACAGCTACTGGAAAAGGAAGTACGACTGTCGTCACTGATAGGGAAACTCAGGCTGAGGGGTTAAGCAAAGGCTAACCAGAGTCACAGAAATCGTGACCAAGACTAAAAAACTCATCTGGTTCCAAAGCCCCCACTTTTGATTGCTTTGCTCTCCAAAACAATCTGTATTTTAATGATCTCCCTGTCAGGACTGAATGAACTTGAACACCTTGAAGACCACAAATACCAAATCTGCCGTCTGCTAGGACCCGCCACGCTGGGATGCTGACTCCAAGTGTTCAGGATCAGTGGAGGGCTCTGTGTGGACCACGTCAAACGCTACTCGGTGCCCAGAGGACACAGAGCTGGGCTCCAGGGCAGGACACACCAGCGGTTCCAGAAGTGGCCCCTAACACGGCTGTCAACTGGTCCGGGAGTTCACGGCCACCCAGAGGGAAGGGCCCTGCACTAACTCTCACTGGCTTACTACGTGCCTGGATGAATCCTCGCCCTCACAGGCCCCAGTTTCCACTGCATAGAAAGACTCTCTACAGATCTGTCCAGGTGCAACACATGACATGTACTCTTCTCCTACAACCACCCTGTTGCTACCTGCAACTCTGTGTGCTTTCTCCGGTGTGATAGGCTCCCCAGTCAGCCTCTGAGAAGGCAGGCCTTGGGTCTCTTTGCTCTGTACTGGCACACAGGAGACAGCAGAATGAGGGAAAACCCATCAGACTCATTCCAGGGGGAGGCCTGGGCCCCTAGAGGGCTGGGCGGACAGGGGTAAGTGCCATGTCCCTACCTTGTCACTCTGCTCCAAAGGCCGGTCACTCAGGAATTTATTCTCATTGTCTTCTCCAATTCGGATCGTGTCCTTTTCCTCCTTGCTAGCCAGAAGCTACATGAAGCATGGAATGATGTGAAAATGCAACCCAAAAAAGTGAGCAGCATGAATATGTATGAATAAGTCAGTGATGTCTTTTTAAAACAACGCAAAACGAAAAAACAAACCAAAAAAAAAAAAAGAGGCAGAAACAAATGCCAAAGCCATGAAATAAAAATTAGCCCAAGTTAGAGCTGTTACTTCCGACACATCGCACACAGCTGCCTGGAACCAGGCATAATTTAAGGACAAATTTCCCCAAGACAGAGCTGAAGCCATTTCCTTCTGCCTTTGCACGGCCTTTCCTGAGCTGCGGTAAATTGAAGATGCTGTCTGCTGGGCCGCTGCCATTCCTGCCGATGCTAAATTCACTTCCAGATTATATAAAAGTAACAAGATTTTGGAAAATAACTATTGATGGAATAGAAAACATCAAATAGGAAGAAAGCAATAAATGAAACTGGTGGTGTGCCCAGGGACCACATGGCTTCTGTTGGGCGGAGAGCAGAACCTCTGTGGACTGTCAGCCACCGAGGTGGGCAGGCCCAGAGCACTGTCACTTTGCTGACAAGACGTCCCCATCACTAATGAGCATCCAAACACGCCTGACGACAACTCTTTGCTTTTGAAAATGAAGGTGAGTTATTTATAAAGACGGCACAAATCTCTACTGTTGTAAAAGTATAAATGCCGAGGTTTCTACAGGCTATGAAACACACTGCACAAAGTTCTCAAGAGAGCAAAGAATTCTGTTGTGGGACATCTGGATTAACCGAACGAGAAGTAAGGGGAAAGATGGCCATACCAGCGAGAGCAATGGCCAAAGTTACACCAAACCTCAACTGAGTGACGCAGCAGAGAGCTCTGGGCTGGGTGCTACCACCACCCCCGGGGGGCAGAGTCCGTGCTGGCATGTGAGATACCCAGGTTCTGGCATCAGCATTCGTGATGGAATACTACTGAGCAATCAAAAATGGAAGGCTTGTCATTGGCGACAAGGGTGAAACTGGATAGGGTAATACTGAGTGAACTCATAAGGAGAAAGACAGATGTCACCTGGCTTCACTCGTATGTAGAACACGAGGAAACAAAACACAAGATCAGTCAAAACCAACCCTAGAAATCTGACTGCAAAACTAAGGCTGCCGGAGCAGTAAGGGGAGGGTAAAACACGAAAGGGGCAGTTCCGGTGGACTACCGCGGAGCACACGGGCGTCTGGTGGTGGGTGTGTTAACGTACACTCGAAGAGGTGGGATCTGTATTTCTGAACCCTGGGAAACACAGGAAACAACTGTCACAGTAGCCATGTGCGTATGTACGTGTTCACGTACAGAGAAGGGAAAATTCCAAAACGTTACTTAACTGTGGGTGTTGGACTTGACAGGATGAGGCGTAATTTATTTTCTGTTTTCCAAGTGTTAGGTAGTGCTGCTGGTTAAATACTGGAGGGAAATACCTGAATTTTAAAAACACAAGCTACATTTGCTCTTTGGGGCTTCCTCCTCATCTGAGCTACAGCTCCTGTGCACGAGAATGGTGCCCATCCCCCACTCGGCCAGGCCTGCGGCCCAGAAAAGGTCGTGGACAATGTGAGCATCTCTGGTTTGCTTCTGCCTGTGTCTCGTGGAAGGAGAGCCAAGTGCACTCCCGGGAACGGCAGCGCCCTTTGCCAGCCCACTCTCACCCCGAACACCTCTCCTCCCTCGACTCAAGATTACCTAGGGAGCATCAACTTTCCCATGCAGCTCTTCCCACCGTTCCAGGGGACGCTGGGGGACGCTGGGGACCGCACCACAAAGGACACAGCTATTCACAGGGAGCAGCAAATTGAAGTGCAGTCTGACAAATGACGCAAATCTGAACTGGCTGGTATCAAGATCTCAGAGTGGGAAGAGGGAAAGCCTCTGTTCTCCAAAGGACATAATGGGACATTTGACAGATTTTTTTTTTCAAAGGGCAAATGAACAAACAAACATGCCATTTACGGCTCAAATGAAGTAGGTGAAGAATGAGCCGCTTATTAAAAATGCCGCCTTGGAGAAAACAAATCGAGAGACTTGTTCCTCCCTAAATGGATGGCAGATATTCCTATTTTTCAAAACTACCTGGAGCCCAGGAGGCTAAGATCAATACTGTCCCCCTCTTACAGACAGCAGCTGGCCAGAGCACAGCATAAATACTGCTGAGTTTTTCCCGCTTGGATGGTGGGAGGAGATGGCTTAAGGCTGACAGGCCTTTCCCCAGAAGTGGCGTGGCTGTGAGTCCTCCATTGACCTGGCACCCCAGGCTGAGTCAAGACAACCCACCCAGAGGGTTCCAGCAGCCATGTACAAAAAGAGCCTCCTGTGCTTGCTGGTGGGGATGGCTCCAGGCTGTGGAACAGGCTCATGAGCTCAGGGCAGGGCAGTTCCTGTGGGAGAGGTGGGCCACGGCAGGGGCTAAGGAGGGTCTAGACCCAGGTTCTTCCTCACTGCCCCAACTTTCGGGTCCCCTACAAAATGACACCGACCACGAGCAGAGGGAGTCAGAGACTGCACATCAGAGGTCAGCAGAGACCCAGAAGTCACAGGGGTGAATATGGCGCCCCTCGGCAGGTGAATGGAATGGACCTCCCACCCTCTGTGAGAACACAAGCCAGGTGGCCCTCGAGGAGACATGATTTAACCTTTCCTGGGTCCCTAGTGGCACTGGCAGAAAGCTCCCATAATCGAGAACCTGGATTTACGGGGTGCTGTTTACTCCCATGGTGTCCTCTGTGCACGGCAGAGAACGGGGTTCCTGGCCAGGTTTGGCAGGAACAACACACTCACAGTCAAACCCGATGTCCCAATGCACAAGGGAAGAAAGCGAATGCACAGTACTCAGGATGAATACAAGAGCAAAGGAGCAATGTACCAGCTCACTTGCTTTCCAAGGCAGTGGGCCATGAGCAAACAGGAGATGTGGCAACTCTCCAGAGCCCCCTGAGACCACCACCCAGACATGCTGTCTGCGGCACGGATCCCAGGGCTAGACGAGGACAAAAGCATCACAATATGTAGAACGCGCCCACAAAAACATGCCCCAAACCTGAGCAAGCCACGGACAACCCAGCTGACCTCACAGAGCCTGCACAACCTCCAAGACCAAAGCTTCAACAGAGAAGGACGGAGGCAGTCTTGAGAACCAGTTTGGGTCGTTACATTTTTGTAATTAGCACAGGACACCAAGAATGTTCCGTCTTACCTCTGATTTTTCTGCAGACCCAAGTCTGTCATCTCCTTGGAAACCCATGCAAGAGAGATCAAATATGGTCTTCTTCAGGTGCTGGTTGTCTGCATACAGTTCCTTTACCACGTGGATAAGGTCACTGACCTAGGAGGCAAGCACAGGGAACGGGCTGGCACCAGATTTCAGCCTCAGAGTCTCGCCCCCAGACGCAGACCTTTCTACTGAGCGGCCTTCTCAGCATCGCCACAGTTAGGGAGTCAGGAGGCCTAATTCTAGCCGTCAAGCTATCCTGAGGACAGCGCAAAACACTGCCCTGCATGAATTTGAACCCCAGAGCCACCACTTCTAGGCAAAGGGACCCTGGCAAGCTGCCTAAACTAAGCCTCGATGCCCGCTGGGGAATGGGTCATGGAGCCATGTGGGGCCGAAGTCACATGCACTGAGGTCCTTGGTGTGAGCCCAGTGTTCACGGGCAGCGAGCACTGTCTCCGTCTTGTAGGAGGTGCTCTCGAGGAAAGCCCCTAAAACTGAAGTGTCTGAGACTATGTCAGAGCCTTGTTTTACAGCATCGACCTTCTTCTTTGTAGCCCATCGACAATGTCAGGAGGAATAAGAGCCTTCAACTATAGAGCAATGACAGTTGCTAACATAACCCCACCACAAGCTTTACTCAATCACTCCTTACAAAGTCCTGAGGTAGACTGGCTTTACAAGTGAGGATGTGAAGCACACTGCTCAAGGTCGGGCTGTCTGGATAATGAAATGGCCAAAGTGCCTCGTGGGATGGGGAAAGGCAGCGGCCTCTGGGGCTTCCGGCCCAGCGCTCCTCCTAAGGCACAGCTTGTGCTCCAGCCAGGGACACAAGCAACTGACAGACACCACCTATCTCCCTGCAAGCTTCGAGCCCAGTGGTCAGCCACTTCCCAAAGACTTCACCAGCACGGGGTAATCATTCAGCCCCTAAGCAAAGTGGGATCTTCCACCCTGACACAGAGCAGAAGCCCAGTACACCAGAACACGAATACAAGCTGGGCCCAAGCCTCAGGAGGGTCTAGTGAGACTACTGTTTCCAACTTATGAAGCATCAACCCAGAGAACTACCTCCCGCTGCTTCACAGGGTGCAGTCAGCGTAAGCAGCAGCAATCACCACCCATCTTTTTCATCTTTATAAACTTCAGATGCCCCGTTTCACCCCTCCCTAAATACCCAAGTTCAGTGCTCCATTCTATTTCTTCTTTCTGTGCCTGATACGTGCTGTTTTCTCGTTCTGAGAAACCCCTCCACACAAACTCCTACTCACCCTTCAAAACTTCCTCATACTCCCTTCTGTAGAGATCAGCTTCCTCTGGTCAAGTGAGCACCCCAACGCTGACACTACGCCTCTCCTCATGACCTCTACGCCTTGGACGTCTGTCTGTCTGTCACACCGGTGCTTGTGCTCCACACTGCAAAGACCCTGCCCGCTCTGCAAGGGGGTGAACTTCTCTGAGACCAAACTGAATCTGTCATAAGGTCAACTTGCAACGTATCGGTCTCCTCTGAACTCACAGTTCCTTTTCTTATCATGGTTCCCAGAATCTTGCAACACTAAACCACTCTAACCACACCACTAATCAACAGACTGAAAAAACTTTGCAGTTTTACAAAAGATTTATTGATCCAATGTAGACCTTCATCCTTCCAAAACGCACCTATTAACTTCCACTGTGTGTGTGCCAGGTACTGGAAAATTAGAAGCAAGTAAGATGCAGCCACTGGCTTCAAGATGTTCACAACCTAGCAGGGGGTAGAGATGAATGACCAGATCACTGCAGAGCAGAACGAGCAGAACCTCCATGCGACTGTGAGACCCCCAGTGTTCTCGAGGTGGCTGCCCCCATGGAGGCAGCACGGAGTATTCCCAGAGGTAGAGCCTGGGCTGGTCCTGACACAAGCCAAGAAGGAATCACACATGGAGGCTGGGCCCTCCAGGTGGTGTGCACACAGAGAGTAGATGGCACGGAGGAGAGACAGGAAGGAAAGGGATGGGCTTTCAAAGTCCTGTCAGCAGGTGGAGGTGAGCGGCTGGTGATGCTTACGATGTCACATGCACAGCTGCAAAATCATACGCAGTAACCCCCAAACTGACCTAATGTACCAAGTTGCCTCAGTATAAATTTCTTTAAAAACATCTTGAACCCCTCTGCTCAAGAACCCAAAAGACAACAAACAGCCAGCGGGGCATGGGAAGTTAATAGGTCAATACCTTTTTCTTCAGTTCTTCTTGAGAAAAATGTTCCACTGGAAACCGATCGTGCTCTCCAAGGCAAATACTCAGATAAGACGTTTGATCACTATAAAATGAAAATGGCTCTTCTGCACATTTAAAAAAAAAAAAAAAACAGAAGATGGGGGAGGAGAAGAAGCAGAATATCAGAAACAGATCTTCTAAGATCGATGCCAGTGCGACCCATCTAAGGCCACTGCAGTGGGTGGGGGCTAAACGGGGAAGAAGTACCCAGAGCAAGCGCAATGCTCAACCTCTGGAACAAAAGTAATTTCCTTTTTCTCCCCACTGCCATCTCGAAACACAGTTCATCATAGCTTAGGCTTCCACTCTGGCCATTTCTGAGTTATAATTTTGTGCCTGCAGACCATTCTGAGTGACCCAAAGCAATAGCGATTTCAGTTTCAATGAGGGAATGATTCTGTTTAGGTGAGAATGGGGTGGGTGTGTGGAGAGAGAGGGAGAGAGACATGAGCCTCATGAGTTGAACCAATGGGGAGAAAAGTGCATGATATATTTTTTTGCCAACCCCAGAGTCACCCACAGCAGCAAGTTCCCAGGCCCATGTAGAGAAACTACCTAGCAGATGTAAGACAAGACCTTGGGTTGCCCAGGTAAGTCAGCTCCCCCCCCCACTGCAGTCAAGGTCATATGCAAATAGAGGGACGGCACAGCCGAGAGACAGGCTAACTAAGAAGCATGGCATGGCCACAGACACACTCTCTTCTTACACATGAGGGTAGGAATGGATATACCCACTCTGCTGGAAAGAGCTACAACTCTAAGCAAGGTGTCCTGGCTCAGTCTGGGTAGATCAGGCCCACTCCCACCTGCAAGCCTCAGTTTCCATGGGAAACCTGTCAGGTGAGGTTACGTGCCTGACACTGTCCCATGCACAGTAGGTGTTTAAGAAACAGCGACTCTACCACTGCTGTTACCGATTTTTACCACAGATGCCAGGCCCCAGGCTAGAGCCACTGAAAGGAAAGGGACACCCACCCACACAGGAAGGGGCTCAGCCCCCGCCACGCAAGTGCCTGGGCGCCTCGTCTCGGCCCTGCCTGAAAGGCCGCTGTGGTAACGCCTACGCACCCGTCTCTGCACTGGCTGCTGAGACAGCCGGAACCCAGGCACTCTGGCCAGGGAGGGTCATTTACCAGACAGAGGGGCGTCGAGACCCTGCAGTCATGTGCAGCCGCGGCAGCCAAGGGGCGGCCCAGAGCAGGGGCAGCAAGCCCTGCCCTCTGCAGCGCTGCTCCACTGCTCGGCCCTCCTGCACGAGGCGAGAGCCCGGCGGACGCGGCCACCGCCGGCAAGGGGCCCCGGGTGAAATCCTGTGGGTGCCTCATCTGCTACTGGGGTTTTAGAATTCCTGAGGTCCCAGCAGAAAGGCCGAAGGGAAAGACATACAAGGGAGCTCGTACCTTCCCGCCTCTGAATCTCGCTGATCTGCTCCTCGAGGGTCTTTTTCAAATTCCGGTAGGAGAGAACATCCTGCTCCAGTTGCCTCCGAAGCGCCAAAATGTTGCTCAGCTCAGCCTGCAGGTTGTTGACACTTGGCAAAAGAAGACAGCAGCAACTGAGAACCAGAACTACTTATGCTGTGCGATGCAAGCCCAGCAAGCTTTCCTTTGATTTCTATGTCTTTTGTGAGTTGGTTTTGTTTTTTTTTCTGGTTATAAAAGGAGATACATGTTTATTATAGAAATTTTTAAGTGTAAAAGTATAAAGAAAACAAAATTACCATGATCCCACGACCAATTACCACACAGCAGACTGTATTTCCTCCCAGCCTCTTTCCTTGAGTATTTCCAAAAGGTTGGAAGAACACAGGACGCCCACGGCGCAGGCTCCTGGCCGGGATGTCGCCTTACGCTAGTGGAAATGATCTGCAAACATCAGCTTTAATGACTCTGCAATGTTAAACCAGGTGAATGTCACTTTAACTCATGCCCCATTAGTGGATATTTGGGTCATTCCCAAGTTTGGGGTGGAAATAATTTAATTCTCCAGAATGGCTCTCTGCTTGCAATGACAAGGGATTTGCCAAGGAAGAGGAGGTTCTCCAGAGTTGGGGTGTCACCAGAAGTGGATGTCTGCTGTGTCATGGTAGTCTTGAATGTGTCTGAAAGAGGTGGTACCGGGGCAGAGGCTGGAGGGACGAGAAAGAGAGAGCAGGCCCAACCTGGGAGCCAACAGAACTCCACTGTGACGGGCCACTCACCAAGGCACAGCAGGAAGAATTTTTATTTCGGGGAGGGGAGTGCCAAGTTCCACCTCTGGGTCACTGTGATACAGAGCTTAGCTGTGCAGAGCGCGTCTGGCACCAGCACCCCTGAACGTGGAGGACGTCACAATAATGGACATCTCCCAATCTGCATTCATCTCGGGCAGAGACTGTCCAGCAGAAATTTCTCTGGTGATGGAAACCTTCTGGATCTGTGCTGATATGGCAGCTAGTAGCACATGCGCTTAGTGAGCATCTGAACTACACTGAGGAAGTTTGTCCGACCTATGATAAGGAGTCCTCTGGCTAGTGGTTCTGAACTGGGCAGTGCAGATCTGCAGGAGGGCTATGGATGCACCCTGTGTGCCTGGCAGGGTCACACTCGTCACCCCTGGCCCTCCGAGGAGCAGAAACCCCAGCCCGCGTCTGAGCACCATGGCAACGTTTTGCTGAGCATCTTGAGCCTACAGCCTTGTTCACACTCGGTTTCTTAAGACAGATTTCCAGCAGCGCAATTACTGGGTCAAAGTACATGAGCATTTTTCAAGACTACCAGAACGCAGTAGCAAACCAGAAAGTCTCCCTTTCTAAAGACATCACTCCCTGTTCAGTGGCCAACCTATGCTCCCTAAGAGGGTCCATAAACACCTTGAACCTGTCTGTAAAAATTTATGAAAATGTGGGTTTTTTCTAGAGAGGGTCCGTAAATTTCCACCTAATTTTTCAAAGGAGATCCACAGCCCCAAAAGGCTAGGAGCTGCTGCTCCCAGTATGTGTGCTACAGAGTCCGGCCCCCTTCTTCAGAGATTTCTTCCAGCTCCACCATCGAACCACACACATAAATCAACATATTGGAAGGAAAATAAACCATTATGTCTAATCTCCTACGCTCGCTGCTTTGAAGACGGTGCACTGTGAAGCCGTCTTCTTGCAAGGGGCCCCCACGAGCAACTTGTACCTGGTTCCATTTCAAGACAATCATAATGATCCATTTGTAAGGCTGATGGAAAGCTTTACAGGGGTGTCACTGCACAGCATTCGCCTGGATGCGGTCATGCTGCAGAGACATTTAACAAGGGAAAAAAGGAGACTGTTTTAGCGGAGCTCCTGTGATTAGGGCTGGGAAGAGCTAACTGCTTCGCTGCCACTTCCATTTTCTAACAGGGTGAAAAGTCCACAGCTGCTGCTCCTGGGCCTGTCAGCTGTTTTCCCAACTCCAGATCTTTTCAAGGTGTGAGGTGTTGGCAGAACAAAGGGGTTTTGCCAGAAGGAAACAGAAGCCCTGTGTGCCTCCTTCTGGAAGGCAGCTGGGCAGAGGCAGGGGATGAGCGGCCCAGGAGCCAACACTCACCAATGCGCAAGGCGATCACACAGCTGAGTCCCATCTGTAAAATGGGGACCACACCTTTCCTTCGAGATCACTCTGAGGTTTAATGTTACACAGGGAAGAGCTTAGCACTGTGCTGAGCACACAGTGGGTGCTGAACATTTCCACAAAGCCTCCCCCATACCCAAACAACTGCCAAATGGAAACACTGATATTTCTGTGTCAGACTTTCTGATTCTCAGGAGTTACAGCAGTGACCTCATCTGGAGATAATTTTCCCCCCAAAGGGATATGTGACAATATGTGGAAACAGTGCTGGATCTCACAGCTGGCAAAGGGGATGGCTGCTGGCATGTAGTAATGAGTCAGAGATGTCTCCACCTATCCTGCAATGCACAGGACAGAGCCTGGTGACAGACATCTCCAGGCCTGAGTCCCAGCAGTGCCATGGCTGAAAAATCCCGCGTTCCAGAAGTGCAAGCTATGCCAGTCTCAAGACGAGAGCTGTCTCGGTTAAGGACAGTGGCCCGGAAGCAGGGAGGTCAGAGCCTTGACAGTTCCGGCCTGTGGAAGCTTGGGTAATCCCCTCAGCATCACTGAGAGTGGTCTCCCCTTCAGCAATATGGGGACAAATCCACAGGCTGCTGAGGTGAGGAATTAAGAGGAAGAGGAAAGGAGCAGCTTCCAGGGCGGGTTGCCTCCCTCGCTTCCCAAGTTAAATGATACCACATCTCCAGAGACTCTCTCTCACACACACACACACACACACACACACCCCGTGGGGAGAGTAAGCTGGTGTTAGCTACCACAGCCCCATCTGCCTCAGGCCACAGTTCTACCCTCTGGACACAGCAAGGCCTGAGCTCTCAAAACGCCCCACAAACTAAGCCTGTGCACACCAGGATACTGAGGCCACAAGCTAAGCCTGTGCACACCAGGATACTGAGGCATTCGGAAGCTTTCTCTGTTGTAATTATTCTACATTAATGTTACCATTTACTGAGGGCTTACTATGTGTCAGAAGGTATTAGGGCTATACAAAAACTGGCGTCTTTTGTTTCTGCCTGCCTTACAGGCAGGCAGGCAGGCAGGCAGGCAGGCAGGGCGGCCAGCCAGCCAATGTCAAATGTACAAACACAGACTCGGGGTGAAAAGACTTAGCAGAGAGCTCAGAGCTACTGAGAGGCAGAGGTGGGAATTAGAACCAGGTCTGTCGCACGCTGAACGTGCGAAGATGAACCTGAAGATGAACAGGAAAGCATCCCTAACAGCCACAGCTCTGCTCAGTGCCATCCCACTTCTCATTCATTAGAAGACAGCCTCGGAATGCCAAGCGCCCCAATGCCAAGGGGGCTTGCCTGCGCCGCACCCACCCAGAAGCCTGCTCAAACCCAGCTCAGAATCCGGCCCCCACGGGAGGCTCCGGATGCGCGATTAAGCCACTTTGCCCATTCCTTCGTGCCCACCCCGCCCCGCGGGAAATGACTAGCAGCTGAGGCTTCTTGAAAAAGCTCACTTTCAGAGAGTGATGCCTTCGCCCAGATTTCATCAGTGTGTTTTCATTTTCTCTAAACTCATTTCAGATTTTAAAATCCGAAAATTATCTCATAACTTAGAAGACGGCGGGGGGAGGGGGGCGGGACGGAGTGGGGGTGCACATTCACCCACAGACCATTTCCTGAGTGCCGACTCCCAGCCCCTCAGACAGGCTGGGAAATGGAGACAGGCCAGGCCCATGGCCAGACAGCTCTCAAAGGGGGGTGAGGGCAAGAAACAGAGGGGGCAGCTGTTCTGGGGGTCAGTTCGGGTCTCCTGACCAGAGTAACTAGAGGGTGTGAAGCCTACAGGAAGTCGGTTGGGAAAGCACACGCCCGGGAACCACAGCGCCTCCCGCCCTGTGCTAGAGGGAGAGAAGGGGGGCGCCGGCGTCTTTTTAACTTTTTGTAGGGAGAAATATAAGACAAAAGCAAAATACAGGGTAATATAATGAGCCCTTCCCTATCTACCTACTGGCCCCACCCTCGCCCACCCCCAGTGCCAGGGAGTGTGGCTACTCCCAGTCACACGTCCTCTACTTCTGTACAATTTGGAAATGAATCCCAGATATCATGTCCTTTCACCTGTTCCCACCAGTGTTGACAGAGAAGACGCCTCAACCTGAGAAGTCTCTGAAGCCAGGCCTCTATTTACAGAGGGGCGAACAAAGGCCCAGAGCTGGGCAAGCCAGCAGCAGGCGCCCACCACACAGGCCTCGCCGGCACCAAACCATTCCAGCAATTCCACAGAGTCGAGCCCCTCCACGACAGAGACTTGTTTGAGGCCCAGCGGTCTGTCACGCACCACCTTTGTGACTTTGGACACATCACATAGCCTCTGAGTTTTCATGGCCTTGAGGGAAACAGGGATTTTAATATCACTCACATCGCAGAACAGCTGTAAGAATCATATGAGATAATACACACGGAGGCATGTTCCGGAGCTAAGTATAAAGATCTGACTAATTATTTATTGACATTTTTATCCTAAGTTCATTGCCAAAAATCAAATAAGTCTTGATAGGAAATAGATGTATCTGACTTAAGTAAGACACCCTCCACCCAAGCACTTGAAACCTCCGAAACAGACTGGAAGGGTTTCAGGGCCTCAGAGATGACCGGCGTTTATTCAAATGTGTGTCCCTGCGCTCACACTCACACGTGTGTGACGTCCAAACAGAAATCTTTACCTGTCTGAGTCCTGCAGAGATTTTACCAGGTGGGCATAGATGTCATGTTCCTTCTTCAAGACCTGAGTCAGCGCTTCATAGTCTAATTGTTGCTTTGCCTGGAAATGATAAAGGGCATCTGACATTAAGGGGAGAATTTCAAAAGAGCACATCCTTACATTATGCAAACATATGTGAATCGTTCTGGTTTTTAAATTCGAAGGAAGGTGGATGAGGGCGCCAGGCCCTGGATCAGGCCACAGTCAGAGAGCACCACCTGCAGGAGCAGCGGGGAGTGAGCTTCATCAGCACAGAATAAAGCCAAGAGCCGAGCTTCCAACCCGACAACTGCTATAGAAGAGCCATCAGAGTTAGCACATCTGCCGCCCTCAGAGCTGCCGGCCCTCCTTTTCACAAACTACAAAGAATGTCTTTCCACACTTGTTCTCTCTCCAAATAAAAGAAAACCATAAGCCAAAACCTGGCAAGTATTAGGGACGAGGGGTTTACATGAAAGTAGAAAAGGTCAAGTGCGATCACGCTTCAAAGGTGTCCCAAACAGAGCGATGAGAGAGAGCTGAGGGGGATCTCCAGCACTCACGAGCAACATAACCTCAGGTACACGGCCTAGCAAACCTCTGTGAGGTTCCGTCTCATTTAGGGCATGAGGATGTAATTTTTTGAGTCGACATTCGTAAACGTGAAACTTTTTTTTACCAGTTCAAATTTTCATTCTGCCACTTACAAGTCATCCTAGGCCCCAAAGATGTTACTACGGCCTTGGTGTTTCTGCCTGTAAAAGGGTGAACTGTAACTACCGCCTCATGAAGCTGTGGAGCAGATGAAAGCGAGATATTGTAATGTAAGGGACCAGGGGTCCTGGGAAAAACGGTCCACTCCAGAGTTGAGACAAGGAAAACAAGGTAATACCAGACATGTCTGCAGCCTTTTGTTGTCCCAGAAAATAAAGAATTTCTGGAAGAAAGATGAAGTGTTGTCAAAAGGACAGAGAAGCCAGTTTGAAAAGGCCAGGCCTGGGACAATTTCTGCATCAAAATAAACAGCAATGGCAACAGACCATGGCCTACTAAATAGAACAGATTCAAGATTCAACAGATTCAAGACTCCACACTGACAGGACTGATTAAATGGAAAGAGGACCTTTTCTTTATAGCAAAACAACTAATACACGTAGACTGAATGATGGAATCAGGAAAAGGACAGTGTGCCGACCACCAAGGAAATAAAGGCTTCAGCCCAGCAGCATAAAAGGATGGCAAAACCAGTGGGTGAAAATGTGAAGCGTTGACTGTCACAAAGACTCAAAACTCTTGCACACAAAGACTTATTAACTATAAAGGGGGACAAAAGTAACCGCAGAGCAGAGACACCTGGCAGACAGCACCTTCACAAAGGTATCAATCAGCGTGGCCATAACATGGAACAAATCTAAGCCAGGTGCCTTCACGTAGGACACAAAGAGAGAACACGGCCTCAGTAGTGCACTAGTCCATGCCTCGCCTGAACCCAGACACCAAAATCAGACAAACCCCAACTGAAGAGCATCATACAGCAGAACTGGGCTGGACACTTTGAACGTATCGAGGCCATGAAACCCTAGGCAAGACTGAGGAACTGAAGAATCAAGACTGCCCAGTGCCCACATCATCCCGCAAAGGGCATTGTGGGACAGCTAAGGAAGGCCATGTCAGGGCTCAGCTCCTCTCTCTTCCTTCTGGCATCTTTCAGATCACTGCTCTCCTTAGTCTCTCCTAGGCCCGCCAAGTGACCACACCCACGCTTCCTTTCCGTCTGCCCTTCATCTCGGTAGAGCTGGGACAGCCTCCATCTGAGCTCCAAGGGAAAGCTCCTTCCTCCTCCCTGGAGCTCTGTTCCATCAGCCACCCTCTGTACTGACATGCTCCAAGGCCCTTACGTCATCTGCTCAGGCCACCGTCTCACCAGGAAGCCTTCCCTGACGGAGAGGGGCCTCCTGCAGCCCCTTGGCACCCTGCTTCACTTCCCCTTCACCAACCAGCTGTTAACTGTCCTGGGGGCTCCTGTGGGCAGCACTGCCCCACGCCAGGCACAGCGTCAGGCCCACGCCAAATGCCATCGCAAATACTTGCTGAACTGATGATAAATAGGTAAGAGAGGAACACAGGGACAGTTATGAATCTTAAAAGCAGAGACTCCTGTGAATATTTTGCATAATGGAAGTCAGAGTGAGTTGAAGTCTTCCTAGAAGCAAACTGCTCACCCATGTAAATAAATGAACTCTTCGGAGCCATTAGGGTCCCATTTCATCAATCACCTCTTCCTCTACATTGAGTCGGGCCCCATTAGAATGAAGTCATTTGGCTCCCCTGGCAGAGCTAACAACCAGAGAACCTCCTCCATGCAGCATCAGAGGGCCCAGCTGCACAGAGGGGCGCCCTCTCCACACCCAGCCCCACACGGCCCCCTCCACACAGCCCGGAATGGAGGCTTCCCATCCCCATGAAGACTTAGGGTGCCACCCACCCACTGTGCCACCCACCCAGCACTCTGTCCTCCATAGTTCAAGAGAACCTAACCAGCTCACCACCACTGCCTGCCTCTCCCCAGAGCTGCTTCTCAAGCAGGGAGCCAGTTCCAGGAAGGTCCCTGCTCTCTGTGAGCCAGACCCTGTGCCCACACCTTTCTCTCCCAGGATTCAGATTAAGTCAAGACACCAGAGGTCTGGGGGGTCACTGGGTATAACCCTGTCAAAGACACAGCCCTAGTTGTGTGCACGGCTTCTGGTGAGGTCTCACGGGCTGTTGGTCACCCTCCACAGTCCAGGCCATTCGATTTCCCCCTTAGCACTGTGGGAGCCCCCAGTACACTCCCAATGGCTATTTCCTTTCTTAGCGGTTGTTTGCTAAGACAACTCAACACAGGCTTCTAAAACTTGAGGCCAAAGAGCCTTAACTAATACATTACTTCTAATCCTCTCAGGAGGTAGACATGTAATTCCGCCTTTTTACAGATTAGGAAGGTGTGTTTCAGAGAGATTAAGTGACTTGTCCAAGGTCAAAGAGCTGGCAGGTAGGCAGAACTGATATCCGAACACCAAAGCCTTTCCTAGCCTGCCACAGCAGCCTGAATGACCCACAGGAAATGCATGAAACGTGCAGACCACGCTCTGAAGCAGCAGCAGAGACAGCATAAGGCTCACTTCTTGGTAATCAGAGCAATTCAGCGGCCTGGCAGATAGATGGTCTCTATTTCAGCAGCTGTGTCACAGTTCTGTAACAAAGACATTGATTTTAATACTCAGGAATCTCAGTAGCAATGTCCCAACCATGTCAACAGTCAAGCTATAAATCTCAGGTTGCAGCAAGTTAAATACGGTCAGTGTGTTTTACTCTCTCTTCGTCAATTCCCTGACCATCCAGCATTAATTCTCAGGATCACACATGATTAGGAGAAGAACAGACAGCCTTGAGTCGATGGAGACATCATCAGCACCTCAGGTTCTTCACAGAAATGGGCAGAGGATAAACCCTAAGTCAACACAAAACGGCCAACAGCACAGTCGAAGAAAGCCATGCTTTCGCCAGAGAAAGAACTGGAATCTGAACATTATATATTTTTTCAGGGGGAGGGAAAGCTGCTAACTGCAACAGTTGGGATTTCTTAAACTGACCCTAGAAATTTATAATTCCTAAATAATAATTTATAATTCTTTATCCACAATTTGCAATTAGTCTCAGAGCAGAATTAAAACCTTGCCTAAAATAGTTAGGTAATCTTGCACAATAATTTATAGATCATACGGGATTTAAACATAACCAAAATGCTCATGGAATGACTTTAAACTTGCAGTTATATGGAGTGCAAACATCGCCCAGTGCTAAAAATGAGGTGACACAGAGGATCCAGCTAGTGAGATTAAATTTTTAAATACCCAGCCTCAAATTAATAAACATTTTGTTCAACATTTAGACACTTTTTATATAACCAAAACAAGACTCAAAAGAGCAAAGTGTAACAAAATGGATTCAAATTAGTGAGGAGGTATCCTTCTAAAGCCCCAGCCGCAGCTAGCTCCTTTCAGAACAGACTGGCCTATTACAGGCTGACGAGCATCTTCACACCCAACTAAACCTGATCAAAATCAAATAGCTAATGCAAGTCAGAGCCACAAAATATTAGCCCTCAGATTTAGTCATTATCATCAGACTTGCCCGAGGTCACTCAAGTGAAGTGACAACACCAAGAGAAAGAATGTGAGAAAGCTATAAAATACGATGACATCAAGGTGGGAGAGCAGGCATCCAAGGCCCCCCCACCCCCACCCCACTCCCGCCAAGGGTATCCTGGGTATACCAGGATCAGGCTGTCTCCTACAATCTTAACAGTAACACCCTTTCCTCCACCTCAGATGCTGAGGCTGGCACTGCCAGCTTAAGAAATCCCTACTTGTCAAGTTCACTTTCTGGTACTGAGTTTGACTGCAGCCACGGGGTGTAGCCCCTGCCATCCAAACGGTCTGCAGAGAGTAAGTGCCCCTTGCCCACCAGACCCGGCAAGCGCACGAGAGAAGAGACAAGCCGTGAGACGCTGGGGAGTCCTTCCTCAAGTAAGCAACACACTGAGGCTCTCCTGACCTTGTCACCGTCCCTGAAGATGGGAAGGGTCTTAATGAGCCCAATGCTGTCATGTATTATCATTGACATACACTGTCCCCAGTACAAAAGAAGGGGCTCCCACTGTCCAGCCAATGATGCCCTCTAGGCAGGGTAGACACTGAGTCCACACACAGTGGGCCAGCTGGTTGCTGAAAAACTGAGATGCTTCTACACCAGCTGTAGTATTACCCCCACTGATCTTACCCTAACCACCTCAGAGGCCTGCTTGGCCTCGCCATCAGCCCCTCAGGACCTCTACAAGATGCAATAACCACAGGCCTGGCCCACCAGCAGACCCCCAGGACCTCCCTGGTTCTCAGACAGTCTGTCTGAACATCCTGATGGCTGATGCCCTTGCTGCACAGTGGTTAATTATTTTGAGAATCACCCTTCACAAAATCACAAGTCACAATGAAAGCCATTCATCAGAGAACTAATTTGCGTAAGAGTTCTGTCTTTTCACTGTATGAAGTTCATTAAAGCCCGGAGTGGTGGGGTGGGGGCGGGAAACCTTGGCCCACACTGAACTCCTTTCTTTCCACAGCTGGCTGCCTAGTTGCATTATATGCAGGCTACAGGCAAGAGTAATCCTCTGCCTCTCTCTCAGATCAATGTAATCATTCGCTCACTCAGCAAACATTTCCTGAGCCAGGTACTGGACCTGAGCCTGGAATTTAAACATGCACACCAGCTTCCTTGCCTGCGCCTGGGGAGGGGCAGCAGAAAGGTGGCCCCTTGACAGCATAGGAGTGAGAGCTCCGGGGCAAGTGCCGTGCTCAGAGAGGAAGAGATGGCTCTGCTGACAAAGTCAGGGAATGCCCCGCAGCGGAGGTGCGTTGGGGTCACCAGATGACCAAGGAAGGGAAAGGCATTCCTGGAGGATGGAACAGCATATGCAAAGGCAAGAGATACAAACATGTCACTTTCAGGAACCTGTAAGAAGTTAGCTGTCATGACGTGAGGGGGAATGAAAGAGAAGGAGAAAGGAAAGAATGTTGAGGAGATCAGGAAGGGTCTGCTGGGCCTTTTCTTTTGTGCATTTGAACAGGAGAATTCTCCTAATACTTGAACTATATACTTCTACAGAGGTGAGCGCTGGAAGAACAAACACCAGGCTCGTCTCTAAATGAGCTGTGACATCTCAGTTCCCTCTGCAGTGGAAATACCCATGCTCAGCTGAAGGATATTAATCTGTAAAGTTAAAAACTCCTCCTTCTACCTGTTGTAGCTCAATTATCAGCAGGAAGGCATTTGAGGCTTTCTAGATCAAAGGAGTTATAAAATATGTGTCAAGGAAGAATATGAATGCGCATGTGAACATCCAATTTCAGTCAAGCTTACCTCAGAGAAGATGATTTTGCTGCCTGGTGACTGTTGAGAGGAGCACTTTTCCGTTATTAAGTCTTCACTCCTGAACCCCAGATCCTGTGCAGTAGTTAAATAACTGTTCTGCTGTATTGCTTCCAATGCTTTTTCATTGAATTTCTAAGGAAACAAAATAAATCATAAAAAAGTTTTTATCAAAGAAAAAAGTATTAAGAGTGTCCCAAACTCTTTCAGAGGAGATATGCCAGTCTTTTCCACAATGCCCATATGCCCTCTAAATTAAACCTGCATCACCCCCAAATGTTAGGCAGATACAGAATGCAACTCAATGTGCGTGTCACTGAACAGGCAGAGCCAAGGATGGTGACAGTCATTATGGAATCTTCCTTCTGTCACCTGTGACAGCCTCCCAGTGCGGCATAGAGGACAAAGCCCAGGCAGGCTCCAGTCCTAGGGACTGGCCTCCGATCCTGGGTCTCCAATGCCAGGTGTGATCTTGAGTGTGTTTGAACCCTTCCAGGGTAAATGCCGTGATAAGATCTCATGGCCCCACAAAGTCTAGTCACTCTTGAGTCATCACAGTTTGAACCATCCATGTCCCCAAGGAGCTCTGACTTTCAGGAAGAGCAAGGCAGGACTAGAGATATTGCTAGGGGCCTCCTTCACCATGATGCACAGCAGGGTTCCCCTCAATGACCCCTTAGGTGATTTGAAATCAGTGAACAGGACTAGAGACTATTTCTTTGGCCTTTGGCCAAGTTCAAGCACAGCATCTATTCCTAACTATTTAAACAAGTTAATCTCCTGAACTAGATTTCTGTTCATTCTCTGTTGGTAAGTTGGGCAAAAATCACATCGTTCGATAGCACCTATCAAGTATAGGTTTTCCAAGAGATTATCTTAACAGATCAATATCCTTTATAATCGGGGAAATGCAAATCGAAGCCACAATGAGATACCACCTTGGACCGGTAAGAATGGCACATATCAAAAAAACTTGCAACAACAAATGTTGGTGAGGATGTGGAGAAAAAGGAACTCTCCTGCACTGCTGGTGAAAGGGCAAACTGGTCCAACCACTATGGAAACCTGTATAGGGGTTCCTGAGACTACTAAAATGGAGCAACCATACATATCACCCAGCAATTCCACTCCCAGGGATCTACCCAAAGGACACAAAAACACTGATGTTTATTGCAGTAATATATACCATAGGCAAAACCTGGAAACAATTCAAATGCCCAAAAATAGATGACTGACTCAAGATGTGGTATATACATATACAATGGAATACTAATCAGCAATCAAAAAAGATTAACTTATGCCATTCACAGTAACATAGTTGGAGCTAAAAGGACTTATGCTCAGTAAAATAAGGCAGAAGTAAAAAGAAAAAACATTGGATGGTTTTACTTATAAGAGGAATATAAGGAAACCAAATAAGACATCAGTAATACAAAGAATAACAAAACAAAATACAGACAACTATAATCCCAGGACTTCCCTTCACAGCCCAGGTAGATTCATGTCTTCCTGGATCATGAGTCTCTTTCTGGGTATGTCTCAGAACTCCTCCAGGAGTTTTCTGCAAAGAGTCATGGGCGGCACCAAATGTCTGAAATGCCCGTATTCTGCCTGGGCTGAGCGCACAGGCTGGACTGTAGATGACCTTTCCTCAACAATCTGAGAGTGCTTCTCTCCTGCCTCTGGCTTCCCATGTTGCTGTTGAGAATACTTAGTTTGGTTCTATCATGTACAGAATCTGTGTTTTCTCTCTCTACAAGCCTTTCCATCCTCTCTTTGTCCCTGTGCTCTGAAATTTCACAATTTGACCTAGCAGTATAAGTCGCTTTTATTGTTTTAGAAACACCAAGTTCTTTCAATATAGAAGTGCCTGACCTTCCATTCTAGAAACTTTTCTCCTCTTACTTTGAAATTATCCTTCCCTCCACTTTGCCTGTCCTACCCTTCTGGAACTTCTGCTAGTCATATACTGGAGCTCTTGAATCAAGTCTCTCATTTTGTTATCATTTCTTTCCCATTTTCCCATCTGTTTGTTTACTAGCTTACTTCTATTTCCAGATTTACTCAATTTCATCTTCTAACTTGCCTAATTCTTCTATCAAACATTTTATATATGTAATTATCTTCCAGGTTCTTCCTCTCCACATAGTTGCTTTTAAAACATCCCAAATTTATTTTCACCTAAAGATGTTACAGGGTTTAGTTTTTTAAAAAGCTGTCTAGTTTTCGTTTCAATGCTCATTTCTTTTCCCCCCATGTCTGCTTGGCTTGTCTTTCCTCCAGACGCTGTTCTCCCGCTCGATAAGTCCAGGCTATTCACACACTTTTCTCCTCATGCATCCACTGTTGCCAGTAAAAGTGTTCAGAAACTCTGCAAGTAGGGAAAGGGAATTTCAAGGGAGTCTCGCTGTGAGAAAATCAGGGAGGACTCAGCGGTTCTGCCGGAGGACCAGCAACCATCAGCACCTTGCAGGGGCTTCTCTCCCCTATGGGAACGTCATTGCTGGGTCCCTCCCTCCCCATTTCACTCGAGGGGCCCACTCCCGCCTTCAGCTGCACATGCGCTTCTCTTCTCTGGTTTTCTGACTGGTGGTCCCCAAGAGGAGGTTTCAGGTTCCCTGAAGGGTAAAGCTGAGCAGGGAAGAAAAAAAGCTGAAAAAGGAAGCAGGATGGAGGCCAGAAGGAGACCTGACGGAGGCATGTGGAGCAGAGACATGTGAAGAAGCTGCTCTTGCTTCTTGGCCCTGGATTGGTGAAATCTGAGGGTGAGAGACCCATGAGCAGGTTGACAATGGCAGCTTTTCTCTTGGTTTTGTTCCTTTTGTCCCAGACATGCTGGGCCCCTCTGCCCCTTTCTTAAAGGTCCCCCTCAAAATGTGCTTTTGACTTGTGGCAGCTTCAGGCCTCGGAGGCCCTGCTCTGGGCCAAGGCTGTTTGGCTGGGCATCTACCCACAAGGGGATGGGTAACTTCAAGTGATTTGAAAATGACTGTCTTTGTCTTTTCTGTATTGCACATTAACTGTATTAAAGTTTCCTTCCATTGAAGGTCTCACGCACTAGAGTATGTTTTGTCTTGATGCGGCCGATGGCAGGCCCTATTTAGAGCAGGCAGGTTTGGGGGTTTGGGGTGCCCCCCTCCCTGCCCTTAATAGATTAAGGTTGACAGAGACCTTAATTTCCCATTTCCTGCCAGTGAAGGGAACAAGGTCAATGCACTGCGCCGCATTCCAGCCAAAACTGCTCACAGGCACCTCTCACGTCCACTGACCTTTCCGGGTTCTGTGGAATAGGCCGACTCGCTCCCTGTTGACCTCCCATCCCAATGGATGTAGCAGAGTTGGGAATGCTGAACCTGTGTAGTAACACTCACCATCCACTTACCTTTCAGACAGCAGCATCACCCCATTCTCCCCATCCTGTGTGTGCATGGCTTTACGCCCTCACCATCATTTTAATGAGATTTCCATAGGAAGTGGAGTGAAACCCCCCATGTTCAGGTCACCAAGGTTAGCCGTGAGTGAGAGCTAGCTAAATAAGTCCCCAGCGAACACGATGGGTGTTCCAAGGCACAGAGGAACAGAGGAGCAGTACAGAGGGGTGAATGAACAAGGCGCGAAGATGCCCTTATTTTATTCTATTAAATATTCGAGAAAAACAGGCCAACCCTGATGCAGCTGGGCCTGCTGTTGATGTGATGAATCATACGGCCCAGAGAAGTGCCTTCCCTTCTCCACACTCTCCTCCCTGATGGCTGAGGCCCAAATAATGAAGAAAGCTGTAGGAGGCTCTGATTTGTGGAAAAGAAGCCTACAATAATTTTTGCAGCCACATTTTTACAGGAAGATTCCTTCGAAAGAGTTTAAAAAACAAAACAAAACCAAATCGACACCAAATCAGAAGATTTAAAGGCCAAAAGTCGTGATACCTGAGGCAACAAGTCCGCCTGACTAGCACTTTCCGTCAGGCGCCTGATCAGCTCTTCTTGGCCTTGCAGTTTTTTGTTACTTTCACTCAAAAGGCTCCTGTAATGATGCTCCACTGCCTTCTCTCGTTCATTCACTTCGTTGCGTAATTTCTCAACTTCACGTTGAAGGTCCTACCGGAAGAAAAAGAAGAACCAGAATTTACTGGACGAGAAAGTCAAGATAACAACTTCTCTCAACGATTTACCTACGATAAAGCAAGCACGCTAATCAAGGTCTTCAACCGTTGTGTATTTCCTCCTTATTTGAACTTATAAATAATCTACAATTTGGAAAAGCTTTATCCATATTTATCACAACATAAATATGAATATTTATCACAATATTATTTAAAATTCTAAAAAACCAAGAAGAAACTAAATATCCAACAATAGGGAATTAATGATAAAAACAGTATGTTCTTCAAAATGCTGGGTACTATGATGCTGGCTCTTTCTAAATGTTTATATAAATATAATTACGACTCTGAGGGACACATCCAAATAATAAAAGTAAAGCTTTGCCAGTTCCTTTGTTTTCTCCACACTCCACGCAAGTGAAATCATCCGTATTTGTCTTTTTTCCTCCTGCCTTACCTTGCTTAGCATAATCCCCCCAGTCCCATCCAGGTTGTTGAAAATAGCAAGAGTTTATCTTTATAGCTGAGTAGTATCCCATCGTGTATCTCTAACACATCTTAATCCGCTCATTTGTCTTTGGGCACTTAGTCTGTTTCCATAACTTGGCTACTGTAATAGTGCCGCAGCGAACACCAGAGTGTAGATCTCCCTCTGAAGGAGTGCGTTTGCGTCCTTCAGCAATTACAGCTACCGCAGAGTGGAACGACTGGGTCCTACACGGTAGGTCCCAGTTTAACATTTTGAGAAATCTTCACACTATTCTCCACAGCGGCTGGGCCAGTCTACGTTCTCCAAATGTAAGCCAAAACGAACCCTAGAAACAACTGCAGAATGAGGCTGCCGGTGGGGAAGCAGGCTGGGGTGAGACCAAAGGGAACCAGAGGCGCAGAGGTCTGTGGTAAAGGACGATGGGTGCCCTGGGGGTGGGTGATGTGGTGCCAAGCACCTGAGGAGATGTAAATGTACTCCCCTAAGTCACAGGCAGTGTTGTGAATCAATGTCACCTCAAAAAACAAAATAAAAAAAAACAAAACCCTTAAGTAGAGGAATAGTGATTATCAGTTGATTTTTATTTTTGAGTTTCTAAAGTCTCTAAATAAGACGAATGTATTCATAATCAGAAAAGAAAACGGTCTGAAATAATGACACTTCCAATAACGGAAAATGTTCAAGTGATATTAAGTGACAAAAACAAAGAACAGAAAGCAAAGACTGCAGAGTGACTGCCTCAAGGTACTTGTAATAATGAAAGACTGGAGACACCCCACTGCCCACCAACAGGGCTAAACCAGGAGCGCGTCATCAGGCACCTCGAAGGTACAGAGAAAAGGAATGCGGACTCCCTGTATACATGTACTGGCCCAGGTGATCCTCAGGAAATATGGCTCAGGGCGGAGGGTAGAAGAAAGCAGACCCCAGGGAGGGGGGAAAATGTCTGCGTACAGTGTGCTGGCATTTCCTTAAGCACACAATGAGTTAAAAGGCTGCCTTTCAAGACGAAGAGGGAATGATGAGTAAAAGAGACAGGGTAAAAGTCACTTTTTAGATGTGGCATTAAATATTTAAACATTTAAACCATTTAAATGCTTAAGAGAATAATTCTTTAAATAAAATTTTAAATCCCTTAAAACTGAAAGCAGAACAAACAAAAGAAAATGAATTTAACTTGCATTGAGTTGACTGGTGAACCAAACCAAAAGGAATCATTTCAATAACCTTCAAGCTGTGTAATGTGTACCTCTCTAGGGGGATATTGTTTCTAAGGACAAAAGGAACTGCTACAAACAAAATTTTTAATTGTTAGCCATAAAGTATTTTAGTTTTTTAAAGTAATAATGCTTTTAATAACCATACTGTAAGAAATACTAGGTATCGTTATTCTGAAACTGTGTGTGCATATATTCATTAAATGATTATTAATATCATGGGAACAAAAACTTTCAGTGTAAGAGAAGACAAATAACAAACGTGAAAGAAGTAAAAGTATGTCATTCTCATTTAATGGACACATCGGGCCCTCCCTGGTGGTGAGCAGGTTAAAGCGCAGCACTGTGAAGCTCTCCGTAGCCACTGCAGCACGAGTTCAATCCCCACTCATGGAGCTGACCCACAAGGCAAAGCAGACCTCTCTGACCCGCCAAAATAGGCCAGTCTGAGGAACAAAATACATCATGACAGCAGTGGACACAATCTACAGAATAAAGTATAGCTAAGTAGTGTCAATGAGGAAGAAAGGACAGCGCTTCCTCATATCAGGATGACAAAGTGTAAAAACAATCACAAACATAGAAAATCACCCGTAAAAGACCACAAGTAACAATCATCAATCACACTAAGAATCATCAAAGGGGCTCCCCTTGTGTTCTAGGGGTTAACACTCAGCACTATCACCAGTACAGCCTGAGTTAGAGGCCCGGCCAGGGAGCTGACCCACATGGCATGGCAGACCTCTCCTGAGCCGCTGCTCCCCTCCCCTCAACAGTGTATTTCAGTCAGTCTGCCTGTTCTGCTCCCCACTCTGTCTCTGGTGAGTCCTCTCACGCCTCACACCTCTGGCCAACACCCCAATTCTTGCATGTATACATAAATAAAAATAAAACTTTGGGGGAAAAAAATCATCAAGGGATGCTAAGATTCTTGAAAGATAAGGAATATGATATTTACATAATTTCAAAGTATGTCCCCACAAAATATTGATCACAAATGGATAAAACAGCAACTGGAGAAGCCCAGGAGGCCCCACCCTAACCCAGCGCCCAACACGGAAGCCGCACCCGCAGTCAGGACAGAGGGACCACGTGCGCCTCCAGATGTGACACGGGAGGGAGAGCCCTGCGCCAGAATCTCCGCCAAAAATGTGTGGCCCAACCTCTGGAATCTCCAGATTCTGGTCCAGAGAACGGACACTAATGGGAAAATTGGTCAAACAACCTGTAGATTGGCTAGTAGCTTTGTGCCTGTGGGTTCACCCATTCCGGTAAGTGTACTCCAGCTACATAAAATGGTAACATGAGCCGGGTGGGGGTACAAAGGAACTTCCTGTGAAATCATAGCTTTCCTCTATGGCTCATCTTATGGAAAAATAAAGTTTTTGTTTGTTTTTTTAAAGAGTTATTTATTTATGCATACAGAACTGGGGTACAGGCCAGAAGTACAGGGGTGGTGAGAGGATTCACCAGAGACACAGCGGGGAGCAGAACAGGCCGACTGACAAAGTGCACTGCTGAGGGGAGCAGTGGGCAGGTCAGGAGAGGTCTGCCGCGCCATGTGGCCACCTCTGGGGGTGGGAATCGAACTCATGCTGAAGTGGCTTTAGCTTCTTAGTGCTGTGCTCCAACCTGCTGAGCCACCAGGGAAGGGCCCAAAATAAAGTTTTTTTAAAGACACCCATCCATCAATGCAGTGTATCTTGTCTATATCATAATTTACATAATGGTGTAAACATCATTCTAATGTTTACAATAACTTTTAGATGAGATAATCAGGAAGTCTAAATATTAACTATTTGGTAAGGTTAGAATATTATTAACCTTTCTGAAGGTTATGGTATTAGCCTTCTGAAATAATGGTATTTTTTTAAACATGCTGGAAAATGGACCTTTTGAATTTTAATGTCTTAAAATTCAACATGAGGGAGCTGGGGCTGGGGGCGGGGAGGTGAAACAAGGCGGCTGTGAGTTGACAAGGCTCAATACTTCCTACTCACTCTCCTTTTTCCAAACTAGCAGTTTAAGAAGCACATTGCAAGCCGGGAAGAAATACTGCAACACGTGGCTTTGAAGTTTTTTTCATTATTTTTTTCTAAATTTTTTAATAAAATTTTAAGAACCTAGAAACCCTTTAAAAACAACAAGTTAATTTTTGTCTGGAGCGAACAGATGATGATAAGATTGCCCTCAACTGTTAATCCAAAACAACTGGACCAAGAACCTATCATGAGTTGTAAATGTCAGTAAATAGAAGTTCAACTCTAGGGGGAGGAAAGAAGATTCTTTTTAATTACAAAATTGATATTGAAGCAAAGGCAACAGAATTCTGAAGTGGAAAAGTAAAGCTGCTCGCGCCCCACAGCCCAGTGGGGCCTTCAGCAGCAGACACCCTTCCGGTCCCTGTCCATCTGCAAACAAGTATCTGTGCAGCTTCAGCTTCGGTTTGGGCTCTTCTCCACTTTCCTTTACTTACTCCTACAAAGAGCAGAGCCAACTAAATAATGATGGCACAAAAAAAAAAAAAGAAAGAAAGAAAAAGAAAAATCAAAACAAGTTTAAGAGAATAAAGACAAGAAAATCACTTTCTTGCTAGTACAGAGATGAGAAAAGTCTTCAGAGCAACAAGGTGCTGACAGCAGGGTGTCCTCGCCCCCTCAGTTCAAGGAAAAGGTAAGGGGGGTCCCCAAGAGACGCTTAATGAAAGGGACACAAAACCCATAGTCACCCATTTTCAGGAGCGAGTCATAAATCACTTCCCCATTTCTTTGAGGTCTGTGGCCACCTGATCCTACAGGTCATTCAGCAAAGAAAACACGATTCACTTTCTAACTGTAGATTTGTTTTCATGGGCAAAATTCCCAAGAAGGAGCTAACTGACTCGGGGGGGAGCATGTTTTGAGGAGCCTTGCTACAAACTGACAAGCTCTCTTCCAAAATGAAAGTCCCGCAAAGTCCCCAAGCTCGTTCCCCGTCCTCACTGGTGCTGGTAATTCATTTTTTTCTTTCTTTTCATTTTTTTGAGTTTTATTTATTTATGCAGACAGGTAATGGGGTACAGAGCAGAGGTAGTGGAGGATGAGAGGATTCACCAGAGACAGAGTGGGGAGCAGAACAGGTAGATCTACTGAAATACACTGCTGAGCGCAGCAGCGGGCGAGACACGTGGGTCAGCTCCCTGGCTGGGGATAGAACGGGCCCAGAAGCAGCTGCGGCTAGCTTTGTAGTGTGTGCTTTAATCTGCTGCCTACCAGGGAAGCCGCCTTTGATTTTTTCTAATGGAACTGG